GAATAATTTTAAAAATGTGACTGTCATATGATAGATTTAAAAGCACTGTAGTTCCAACACATTTTAATTAGTTAAAAAGACTTATATTATATTTCTTGACGTTGTTTTATTTTGTGAATGTTAAAATATTGATCAAATATGTATGTCATCCATTTATTGATACATGCACTTACATATGTTTTCTACAGAACTTGTAAAACAAAAAGTAATTTTTAAATTACGCGCAACACGTTTAATTACGGCGTTACGTAAAGGCTGATTGAGAGATTTCTGTAGTGGGCGCGGAGATGGATTTTCCTAATGGCAAATGCACTTTGCTTTCTCGGTATGTAGTGTGACTCATCCGCACCTTTCGTTTGTTCAGCGTCATGGGGGATACGGTCACTAATGGGGAGATGAATGGTAGACAAAGCGTGAATGCCCTGAATAGTGGCTGCACAGAACAAAAGCTGCCACTGGCAGCCACTTCGCGATCTCTTTGTCTCGGGTCATAATCGCTTATCCCGTAACATTCGGTACCTCTCAAATCTCTTTTAGTAATTAGCCGTCGTATCTGGTAAACGACATTAGACGGAAGTATATATCAACGTTAAACGTTTCCCCGCTGTGACACATATACTGTATTCAAATAAAGAAGCTGTGTGTATTCGATATGCAGAAAAAGATCCCCGATCGTCTTCGACGGGTAGTTGTTTCAATATTACTTCGTTTTTTCCACAATCTGCGAGATTGTGCGGAAAACAATTCGGCGAAATTGCATTTGGTTTTTGTGTCATTGAACGGGAAGGGAAATCTTACCCGTGGCAAGAAAAGGTGTAAGCCTCGGGCTCCAAGCTCCTCTGTCGCGTTTCGGACGATACGTGCGTCTTGAGACTTCGAAAGAGGTTCTCTCCGGAACTCCCTGTGGTGCTACGAGCTCGAGAACTCTTCTGTGCCCCTCCAGCAGAATCGATGTCTCGATAGATTCGGCAATCTTTCGAAAATGGGGCGTGGAATTTTGCGCAACGTCTCTTCCCTTCTTCGTCGCTTTGGAACATCTCATTTTGATGAAATACTGTTATACGCGTTACACAGTTTCTCTTCTCCTTTCTTTTTTCTGCAAAGTATCATTTTACATTGTCTGAAAATTCTGAAACGCGATTCTTTTTCTCGCTATACACCCAATCACAGTCCAATAAACGAATAGTATTTTAAAGCGAATATATTTTTCCGAAGAGAAAGCTCTTTTTCTACATCCTCTTAAGAAAAGTTCTCGTTTTAATGGAGAAAAATGAACGGCCCGGCTTTTATACGGAAGAAAAAAAAATGCAAGTGTTCCTCGCGGAATAATTATTTCTCTCACGGCGGCGCAGTAAAACTGTTGGACGAGATACATAATGAAATTAATCGAGCAATCAGTGGCTTTAGGCGGCGCAGCCCCAGAATTTGCAACGGACGTGAGAGCGATAAGGAATGTCCAATAACCCGAGTGGGTAAGTCGGGGACTCCTCGGCATGCGGGGCACGTCAGCCCGATAATCTACGAGTCGATAACTTACTTGCCGAATTTCTGGTCAACCCGACACAAATTGTCCGTCGGTTCCGCACCTTATAACCCCCGCCTAATTACAAACATTATCGCTGCGACGCTCATCCGTGCTCGGCGCGGCAACAGACCACCATCGACCGCAACCTTGCATTCGATAATCTTGCGATTTTACGCCGCGCTTTTACTTTAATTTAAGCTCCGCGTTTTTGCATGCGTCGGCTGCGTGATTCCAGTAACTAGCAGATAGCGGCGGCTTATTTATCGCGCCACATAAATAAACCGTATCAGCGTGACCGCCACACTGACGAATATAATTACACGTATTTAGCGAAAAGTGTATTTTTTATGTTGTTGTATGAAAAAGGTTTTTTTTTAACATTTTATTACCAATATCGTATGAAATTTTATGCATCTCGTTTCAAAGATAAAAAAAAAAACTAAACTCAAACAATGTAAAATAGTCTAACTCGGACGAGAACTGTCATTGTTCAATGAAACCATTCTTTCAACTCATTAGCATAATGCAAGAGCTTTGTTACATCCTTAAACGTATTTGTAGCTTATCGTACTGGCTATTATAAATCTTACGTTGCTGCAAATAACGAGCTAAATAAGTTACAACCGGCGGCAATATTTTCCCTTCGTCCTTTGCCGCGATCCCGCGGGAACTTATGGTGGTCGTTAAAGGAACTACAAGAGCGAGAAAGAGAAACAAAGTCGTCGCCGCTCTCTTTGGCGTGTGCGCAACCTTTACGTTCGGAATAACAACTCATTACCGAGTCTCATTGCGGCCCGACGGAATTATATCGCGCCGGGGGCGCGCGCTTGTTTTTAACGTGCCACGTCCTTGATCACTCACAGCCTCTCTCGCCTTTACTGCTTGTCGACTGGTACAGCTAAAACCGGCGGATGGGCTGCAGCTGCACCCAGTTAATTCACGCCAGAGGCCGAGACTGTGCTCTCGCGCGTGTACACAATCTACCGCGTCACACCGAGCGCGCGATCTCGCCTCCGCACTCTACGGTTTTCTCACCACCATCAACACTCCGATCCTATTCGATAGACCGAATACACGAGTAGTTTCGCCATTATGTCGTTCGTCGGCTGTTCAAGCAACGAAGAAGAGAGACTAAAACAGAGGCGGGACAAGCTTAGGGTGGGAATGAGGAGGAGAGAAGAGGACCACACATGAGCATTTTGGAGCGTTGCGAGAGGTATGGGAACCGGAGAAGTAGGGGTGAACCGAACGAAAGGGTGAATGTGCGATGCATCGACTGTGCATACACGCTGTGTCGTCCTCTCCATAGACAAGCGCGCGACGCCCATACGTGCTTGGAGACTGAATTGGTGTCGTCGCGCATCTGCGTGCTGCAGGCGCGCGTGCCACCGTCTCTTGGTAAGCGTGTCCTGCAACACTGCCGATATCAAAGTAGCCCTAGACTTCGATCCAGAGAACGAGTTAGTAGAGTTTCTTCTGGCCACAGAATATCTTAAGTTATACGAGACAGAGATCCGAGTCTCCCTAGTGACACATGTACGCGATTCGCATCGAAATCGCGGTATGCACTTACAAAGCTGAACTACGTTTGGAAATTTTAGATAAAGCTGTATTCATATATATATATATATATCCGCGTACGCGCGCGATTGCAAAATTGGATAAAAATATTATACTACCGCGGGATTTTTATTTCAATTTTCCGGGAATGTGGTAATTTTCGTTTATGTTTACATAAACGTAGCGATTATGTCGATACCGTGAGAAAATCTAGAAATGGAAAGAACGGAGGAAAAAAACAGTCGCGTTGCGAACGAATTTTCTCTGCGGTTTTATATGATTGGTGTTCGGATGCTGAACTATTTTGCTTTGTTTAGTACTTGATATAGCTGAATTTATGCCCATAAGAAGCTTAGCTCTGTTTACTGTTTCGCGAGTTGGACTTTACGGTCGGTATTCGCGCGCGTTTAGCAGCTGGGAAGCATGTACATAATAGCGCCGTTCGAATTCAAACTATTTCGCCGCACAATCGAAATTCTGACGGAAATTTCCACCAATGTGTGTGGCGCAGGCCGCGCTTTCAAGCGGCCGTAAATGCAATCTCGCGTGTTGTTAGTTCGTTTTGAGTCGATGCTGACTAGCAGAAATTCAATTTTACGATGAGTGGGTTTTTTTTTGGGGGGGGGGGGGGGAACGCGATATAATCACGATATAACCGTCCAAACTGACGGCGCTTGCACAGGTCAAATTTCGTCTCTGTGATTGTCATCGAGTAATTTATCTTTCATTTTGTTGCGTCGTAGACATTTATATCGTTTTGCGTCGCTCGCGCGACTAAACGTCTGTGCAATTAATGTTATTTTATTTCGATTTAACACGCAATTCGGTTATTCGTCTGAAATATACACATTCTGTGATGTGTTCAGATTTCTCACTTGCAATTCAAACAAACAAATTGACTCTACGAAATCCGTGATGTTTTGCGATGTAATTTTTGCAGCTGAAAAGATTTATAAATCACAGAACGCATAAGAAATATAACATTTCTCCGGCAATTTATTACGCAAAAGTGAATTTCTCGATAAATGCTGTAAAGTTTGATATTTATTTTAACGACGTAGCTAGATATTATTTTCTTTGGAAAAATTTATATTTTTGACGCGCCACTGACACAAACTGTAAACAATGGAGCATGAACGCGGATAATCCTCTGTAACGGCAAATTGAAAGCTTCACTCAGTGTCCTCCTCGTGATGGAGTTTGTACGATACCAACCCCGATGATCCGCTTTACCCTATATATTGTCTCTTCTAAGTTATATTTTTGGCAGAACATATTTAAATCTCTAACCTTTTGCTATCTCGAAATAGAAATCTACCCTCTTACTGCATGATCTTTTGAGACAAATGAGGCAAAGTAAAAAAAAAAAAAAAATAACATCGAGATACCGTATTTTATACTTCATAAGCTGGAAAAAATGTCATTTCAGCACGATGTGTTGGGTTGACGGTGTTCGTCTTGTTGAGAAAGTCGTAGTCGCGTATGCAAATTTAAAACTACGAGAGCAATCGACTTTACTTTCAATATCTGCGAAATGTTCCCATAAATTTGCGGTGACGCAAATATCGCGAGAGTTTTAGTGGGCGTTTTGTGCGATTTTATCTCTGTCGACGTATCGGGTAGGCAAAACCCGTTTCCTTCTCCATTTCGAGGTGTTTTTCCCCTTCGGTTTCGAAGTCGAATAAACAACGGCCGTCGTGCACGATCGTGAATTTCGTAGCTAGCTCATGGCCTCCATCTTCCCCTACGATCCAGCTATTCAACCCCTCTCGTAGTAAGTACGTGACTAAATATATTCTTTTCCATTTTCGAGACTCCGACGCCGAGGCCGAAGAAACGTCGTGTCCCAGTTCACGTTCGGCACGACTGCCACGTATATTGGAGATCCGTTCGTGTTTAGTCGACTTACCTCGTCGACGTGCTTACACGACGAATTACACGCCCCTCGCGTGTATTGGCCTCGAAAATAGAGGTTTTCCTTTTTCACAAATGTAATCGCATTCTCCGGCATATAGGTGACACTCACAGTATTGCGCGTGCATAGTTGCGCTGAAAGAAAAAGAATTTCACGTATAATAAAACGTAGTAAAATATTTCGGGAATTTTTTTGATAGATATATATTTTTCTAAATCAATAAATTTTTTTGATATATTTTTTGAAATATTTTTCAATAAAGTGTTTCTATGTTATATTTTTTCTATTTAGATACGCAATATCATGTTTTTTATATCAGAAACAAATATTTAATTTAAAATCCGTTTGGTCAAATCGTTTTGCTGGACTGAACTCTCGTGATAATAAAATTTCATGCACACAAGAAATAAATAAATATATATATATATATATAATTCTTGTAGATGGGTTTGTTTTTCTCGAAAGAAACGCACGTTTCCCCGCGGTGCTGAACTTTCAGCGTGATAGGCAGTTAAGGTAACGCGTGGATTTATAGTTTATTCGATATGTGTGTGATCGTAACTGTTCCGAATGCGGAAAGTCGAACAGAACTATATGTGCGGAATGGCGTATCCTGAAAGTTTTCATTTCCCTAAAGTAAGGCGTTTATTGCCGCGTGGATTTCGATGAGAGAGGATATTTACAGGTTTTGATACAAGATTGCGTGTCCGAATCGTATTTTTCCAATTCCGAAAAATGTTTCTTCTTACATACAGTTTCAAAGTGCTGCGCGAGACTTTTTACCGTCATGAGATCGCGCACAAGTTTTATATTCTCAAATAGATATGATTTTGTTTGTGTGTGTACAGGATATATGGTTCTCTAGCAATAGAATCGATGAATGTGGCAAAGTTGTGAGAACGAGGTAGAAAATAAATAAGATTTGTAAAACGCAAGCGCGATCTTCAGAAATTCTTGATTTGTCAAAATTTGCATTAACTTTATATGTGTGTTGATCTTTCCATATAAGATAATTTAATTTGTTTAATAAGTTTGACAAAATTAGTGTGTCTGCAGAGAAAGCTAAGTAAGATAAGCAGAACGAGACAATTAGATGAAGAAATGTCGCTTTTTTTGTTTATTTTTTTACTGATATTCTCGTGCAAAAAAGATAATGACGCCGAAGAAATAAAAAAAATCTCAACGCGCGCGATATTGTTCGCGATATTGCACATTCGAAAATGTGTCCGTTCAAGTGGCGGGTCGTATTTCGGAGCGCGGCTAATGTCAGATGTACTCGAGATTTCGTCCAATGCGCATCCGGAACTTTCTCAGTATGTCGCCCGCGGCGCGATAAGAAGGGGAAGAAATAAAACGGCACGGCGGCGGCAAATGCAAGTCTGGCTGCCTAGAGAGCTGGAAACTCTATTTTATGGTAAATAGACGTTGCGCGGCGCGCCGTAGGTGAAAAAGCGAAGCGGGAAAAGAAAGAACGGAAACGGAGTTAAAAACGGCACGACGGAGGCGCTCGAGCCTCGAGCAGCAGCAGACGGCGAGAAAGAGGCGATAGTTTCACCCTTCGGTTTATCGGTTTTCGAACAGGATGCACGATCCCACTCCTGGCTCTCTATCGGCTGCACATTATTGTCACCTTCCAGCATACAAAGCTTTCCTAGGTTATACAGGCTTAGTTTACACCGAGTTGTGCGTCGTGTGTCGTGTAAAGCGAGATGACATCTGACGAAATAGCAGATATGCAATTTTCTCGCAGTCGTAACCGGTGACGAAAACAAAAAAAAAAACTACAAAAAAATAAATCACGTTTCGCATTTTCCGAACGTTGAAAATATTGACGATGAAATGTCTCTTGGCGATGCAAAATTCCCGATAGTAATTTTACACATCCTGAATTTTTTTGCGACTCCTTTAAACTTTTTCCACGTTTCCACTTTTCCTTTTCCACGATTTGCATTTGGACGCATAATGGAAGTAACATATTCGCAATGAGAAAGTTTCGCACAATTTCACGCTTCGGGAGATTGACGTGTGTTAATTGCGAAGTACTTTATAATACGCATATAACCCAAAGCTGGCTATCAGTTGTTATTATTTTGCTACACAAAGAAGATTAATGCTCCCGCGGTGTGTATAACTACTGTGTGTATTATGGAAACGAGGTTAGCAGTAGTAGTTTAGCGATCAACTGGCTTTTCTTAGGGGAACACGTAGTGTGTAATTAAGATATAATTGTGTTACTCTTGACGGGGGCGGAGTATATAACGGGCGCGATGCAACGCCAACAACGAAAGTTATCCGGAATTAATCTCTGACGTGTAGGCAGCTTCTAGAAATTGCTGAGAAATAATGACGCAAGTAATAATTATTTTATTCGCAAAATAAGATGCGCAATGTGTACATGACACTACAATATATATACAAAAGTCTATTTGTCATTTGTTTGTCACGTAGATGCTTTTTTCATTACAACACAAGTCAGCTGTTTTTCAGTGTTGCAATTTTATCGCCAAAACTTACACCTGATGTTAAATTTAACGAACTTGACGCGTACATAATAATTATACGCAACTATAAAAGTGTGTAAAGAGTATTCTTTCCGTCATAATTTCATCTGGTTAAAGCACAAAGAGTCAACATTATGTAGATGGGTATAATACACGTAAATCAGAGGCGCTGGTTCGCGCTTGTTAGAGTATCAAAGCAGCTTGCCCGCCCATTCGCAGCATGTCTATCTCGTTGGTGTATTCAACCAACCGCAGGGGACAAAAGCCACGCTAATATGTGCAAACTGACGAGGGCGCAAGAAACCACTGCCTAGATGTTTGCTGTATAGCGCGTTATGAGAAATGCTGCTTTAGAAAGGCAACGCGAGTAATTTATGCACAAATCTTTACGTCTCTCTTCAAATGTTCGTACGTGCTATTTTATCGAGTCAGAGTGAGAAAAAAAAACGCATTTTCTGAAAATATTCACCCTGTTGACAAAATTATAAATTATATCTACGCGTGCAAAAAAACAAATATATATATATATATATGATCCACGCGAAAATATTTTCCGAGAGATAACGCGACAACGATTGCGTATTAGCGTAGATAATATTTTAAATGAAAACACAATTGTTGCGCGTGGCCGAATTGATTATCGAATATCACGATATAATTAAATTTATGCTATTAGTCTTTGGTAAACAGACGCATATATTTAGCGCGACAGTGACACGTACGTCGACGTTGCTGTTATAACAAATTAGAATACCTAAATGCTTGCGTAATTCTCATGATTTCGGAATGCGGAGGGTCACAGTCAGCCTGGGCAGCAATCGTCCTAACGAAGTGACGTTGATTAATCATGGCGCCGTATTGTTACGCGAGTTATGTTCATCTCGTGAGGAATTTGGGCTCGTTTATAATACAAAGATCCTTTGGCTTTTAGAGTTACAAATGTCGAATCCGCGAGGTTATATTTTCCGGTTGGCAGCGCTGTATTTTAATATTTCAATATTGCCATTAATTAACGTTATAATAGACATCATAAATGATTATTGATTATTTTACATTATTAATTATCCGTTGTTAATTATAATACTGTCTGGGTGTGCACACATATGTGTGTATTCAGAATATTAAACTCTTCTTATTTCTATATATTGCGCGCATAAATTAATTGCAATAATATTCTTGTTTTATTCGCGGTTAATAGCTACGTCAAATAGATCATATTAGTTACGCTATCGTGTAAACGTTTTCATGCTTTCGATTGGTTAACAAACACGTCACACAAAAGCTGTCTGCGTTATTATCAATTCAGAATGTTTATGAATTTTGCCGTATATATAATAATAATAATAAATGCGTTGCTTTATAATAAACATGTTATTATCACTCGTCATAACACTAACTACCAAATATATATTTTATTAATAATTACTTTTAACAATTATATTTTAAACACATTGCGTAACATCGAGATATTACGCGCGATAAATTGACGCGAATAAAGCACGATTTCTCACCCGGTTTATCTCATAGTATCCGCAATCGTTCTGTCCGGTGAAAAATATCCTATAAAAAACTAGTACGGTAGGAAACGAAGCGTGAACGATCAGTTTGACGAGTAAAAAGTTGGCAAAACGCGTCTTCACGCTTGCCGCATCGCATCGTCGTCGTCGTCGTCGTCGTCGTCGTCGTCGTCGTAGTCGTCGTCAGCCACCGCCACCGCATCTAACGATCTCTCCGGATATATGTTAACGGGTATTACTGGTGCTGATGAGCGTTGGGACACGTCTAAGGATTAAAGTCGAGCTTATGAAAGCCACTCTGGAACTCAGTCGCCGCCGCGGTATGTGTGTACGGTAGATTCGAGAGCAGATGTTCGTAATTGCTCTCCTCTCTGTACTCTCTTCCGCCCGACTGTGTTGTAAGTGGTGTGTGCCACGTAAAGTTCTCCCTGAGAAAGTCGTTGTTTCGTCGCACACACGCTAGTGGTGTTTACGTGTCGGGCACGCGATGTCCTCGTGTGCACTACACGTGAAAACGCAACTGGATTCTAGTTAGAAATATTCGCCTCTCCCTCTTTGCAGTCGTATATATGTGTATACGACTGCGCGTATTGCATTTAAACACATGTTTGAGCATAGTGCACACCGACGCTTATCTACGTTTAATCGTTATGTTCAAATTAATTACGTGCACATTTACGTGTATATATAATTAATAGCGTACGTTTATCTCGAAGTATTTTACATTTTAACTACCACCTATACGTTCGCATAAAGATGCTACGGTAGTGGTGGTGGTGGTGGTGGTGGTGGTGGATAAAGAAAGGTATTCAAGACGCGGAAGAAGAAGCGTCGTTAATTTCTCTACGCCGGCGGAACAAGTCGGTGAGATTTACTGATATTTTTTCCAGTAAGCTTTTAGCGTTCGCGTCGGCGCTTGCTACCTCGAGGTTGGTCTCTCTAATCCGCCTTATAACCCTTCTTCTCTCTCGCCCTCGTCGTAGTGTCCGCTCATACTCGCGAATTACAAATGTTTATTGCAGCGAGTGGGTTATAACGGCCACCCGGCAAACGTATAACCAGGGAATTATGCGCCGTGGCCCTTTCTGAAATCAACCCCGGCGAATGCCTGCCGGC